AAAATTCTGATTCCTTGAAATCTCTCAAAGCCTGTGGGAAATATTTTGCCATCACTTCATCTTTAAACTGCTCCCAAGTCAGATTACGTTGCTGATCTTCCGTCCTTGTACGTGAAACAGATTCCCACCAATGACCAGCTACTCCAATCAACATAAATTCTGCACATAATACTTTCTGTGCATCCGTACAAGCAATGTGTCGAAATATGCGTTCCAGGCCTCTTATCCACTCTTCGACAACCAGTGGTTCAGAATTACCGTCGAAAGTGGAAGGCTTGTACCTACGAAATTGCTCAACCACTGAGACCGCTCCAGGGGCAAAATGCGGTGCATTCTGCTGTGGCGGTGCATTTTGTGGTGGAGGTGCTTGATTTTGCCTGCTCAACTCTTGTACCGCTCGTAGTAAATCGCGCATCAAGTTCGTATGAGTAGGTGGTGCCATTTCCTAAAATTTAATATGAAGTCATTAATCACACTTAGTACTAAGTCTAATAAGTTATAATTATCTATGACAATAAATATCATAATTTAGTGGGAAAAATAAACGTGCATGTCTTAACATTTAAAGATAGGAAATTTAAAGAATTTAAATCTCGCAAAAAGCTTTAAGTACATTTATCTTCTTACCCTTTTTACATACCTTAGAGTCATTGGAGGGTGGTCGATTGGTGGTCGTTGAGTGCCAAAGATCATTCACATATTTCATAACTTTTAATTTAATATTATCGTTAAATTCATAAATAAATAAATAAAATATTAACCTTAAACAAATATTACCTATGAAAACAAGTAAGCAAATAAGCCTTTTATAACATGTAACAAAAAAGGTAAATTCAATATATATATAACATCACACAATTTTTTTCTACACTGTTCACGCGAACAGTAACAGTACTATTCACGTGAACAGTGAACAGTACCGAGTATTGTTCACGTGAACAGTCCCGGTCACTGTTCGCAATAATTTTTTTTTTGAAACACAAAACTACACAATCATCAAGGTGTATTAAATGTATATATAGGTAAACCTGCACACACCTTTCAATGTTAAAAGGATGGTTTGACCTTTGAATTTCAACACTTTTGGCAATAATTAAATGCTCTGACATAGTATGTCACCTCCAACATTAAACAATTAATTTACCATTAAAAATTATAAAAGTGGGCAGGACTATGGAGTCAAAACACGGGCGTAGTTTTCAACGTATATATTATATAATCCACACACATGCTTATTGATACATATATATGCCCCGCACGAATTATAACATATAGGCAGAATCATGCATTTCACGTACAATTAATTCGATCAAATTCTAACACCATGAACAGTACGTGATACTATTCACGAGAACAGTAACCTTACTGTTCATCATTTTTTTTTTAAGGAGAAATAATACATATTTGCATGCATTCACAAAATTATAAGGGAAGTCTTGAAATTTTGAAAACTTAAAGATACCATATGATGAAAAAGGTGGTGGCATTATAATACACGTTTCTTACCTCTTTTTTTTTTTTTTTTTTTTTTTTTTTTTTTTGCCATTTAATGCACTGTTCACATGAACAGTGCGTGAACAGTGACCCCTCACTGTTCACGTCCAAAATTTTTTTTTTTTTAAAACAAATTATGAGAATCCATGTGGGTCTATAGGAAATTAAACCTATGCTCTGATACCAAACTGTAACGACCCAAAATTTAAAGATTTAGAATCGTTACTAAAATATTTATTTCATAATTAAATAAATTATGTCAAACATCCAACACGAAAATTTTTCTAGTTCCATCCATAAAATAAATAAAGTCTGTGGAAAACATAATTAATTGAACCATGTTCCAAATATTAAACTTCAAATTTAACATGAAGATAAAATTGAAATAACGCAAAGAGAAATAAATAAATAAAACTTCCTAATCATGTTACTCAGAATTTATTTATCTTGAATTTCATAATTTCTGGCATTACAACTCCACCGCATCGCCCGCCAACCAACGACCCGTTCTAATCTGTGAGGAGTAGGGAAAATTGTGAGTACATGAAAATACTCAGTAGGATATAAAAATTAATGGTGCGATCCCATATAAAAATTTTAAAACATGCATCAGAAAAATCATACCGTCTCATATATTTAAAATCCGGTAGGAGCTCATATCATATCATATTATATTGTTGTACCGGAATGGCCATATCATTCACATCATAACATATCATATTATAACTTTAACTTTCATGAGTATAAAATTCATCAGCATAAAAAAAAATATTTACATGGGACATAAAAACACTGCACCTCATATCCTACCTTATTAGATCGTTAAAATTTTTGGATGACAAAATCCAAGAAATCACGCTCCAAAAATCCTTCTCGCTGCTCTAAGAATTTATATTGTTTGAAATTGACTTCCTATTTTAAATTTCAATACCACAGGTATAAGTATCTATAAACCCCTTTTTTTTTTAAGGTATAACGTAATATTCCTTTTACACTGCATAAATATGGAGTCTGTAATTTACCTGATTTCAACACTCTTCTTTCTCTACAACCGTGTGCTTATACATATATCTTCTTTTGATATACATCTATAAATATATCCCACATGATCTAATCTAACAAAGTGGGTGTGTAGTTGAGGATACGTGTAGTAGTAGGATAGAAGAATGGATAAATTTGGGAAACAAACTTTTTGAAATAAAATAATTGACCAAATCTTGTCAACCAACTTTATCACTCAACAAGCAATACCTCCCCCACACGTGGCCAACAAATTGGAATCAATAAAGTCTCTCTCTCTCTCCCCCTCTTATATATATTTATTATTATTAAAATATTCAACCCTAACTTAACAAAGATTCTTCATCATTTTCAAGTGACTTGAGAGAAAATTTAAATTCATTAAATAATCAATTAAAATATAATTGTAAAGCTCTATCTTTCGACCTCGATAATTTGGGCTCCGCTAATCCAAATTAACTTTTTCTCGAGCCTAACATGCATGATTAATTACGACCTATCCAACGAGCCCAATATTCATATACTTATTATCGCTCCATTAGTATCTACATTTTAAGCCAAATGAAATCGAAATTTACTTTATATATACTTTAGTCCCTAAACTTTCAAAACATTAAAAATATAGCATAAATTAAATTAAATTATATTCTATAAAATTTCAAGATATTATAGCAATCTCGTATCTTGACTTGCCAACTTCATCACTGCATACTTCATGACTCGAACCATTAATTGTGTGGCTTTTATTAGCTCCTCGAAGTCTCAAATGTGGCTTTGGTTTCTTCCAATCAATCATCCATTCCTTGGTAATTGGCGGTGCAACCTGGATCACATCACTTTATTGATGCTTTTATGGAAGATTTGAATGTTGATAGCATAAAGGGGTTTTATTTATACTCTTTTTATTTGTTACAAATGAGAAGACTTAGAAATTTGAACGTATAGATAGTGGCTAATGATGATATACTTGTACTCGAGAAAAGTTGTAACATCTTTCAAGCAATGTTGTAGTTTTCAAGTCATATCAATAGTACATCACAGAATTCGAATCATGCTACACGTACAATTTAGTTTGACAATCTTGATTGACAACTCACACTAAGTAACATCACATTCATCTATTTCAAAAACTATTTTTTAAATTAATGGCCCAGATTTTGACAACACCAACATTGTCAACCGTTATTGTCAATTATGATTGTACAAATACATTAATTCAATTCAAAATGCAAGCTTGTGCCTTGTACTATTGTTGTCATTCTCCATTTCTTTCTCAAGTTGGAGCCTGGGGTTATAAAAGAAAAGATAGGGCAACAGATGCTTTAAATGCTACAAGGGTTATAATTTCAATGACATATAATTTTATCCGAACAAGCACTTGGTGTTGCTCTCTTGTATGTCAAAAGAGTTCCGGAAAACCTTGAAACTATAAATGAAGACCAAAAAAGAGAGTTCAAATGGTTGAGAATGCTCTTAAGGTTTGTTCTTTTGCAATCTTAGCTATGGTCATATGTCACACATGAACGCAAACACACACACTTGCAGGACACAAACCTTTGGTCATATGTCATCCTGACATTGATTTTGTAATAGGCACCTACTTTCACTATGGTCTCAAATACTGATGATGATGGTGCTCTTGTTCTTGGCAAGCTATTGGAAAAGATTATCTCAATTTGAGCTTTAACAAAGCCAAAAATTTGTTCTTATTCACACATTTATCCTCTCCATAGCGGCAGAGATTCTATGAACTCCTTTTCTTCATGTCACGTTGATATGCTGCACCAGTTCCTACTTGCTATTGTAAAAAAATTACTTGTTAGAAGTTCTTGATCTTCGTAGTTTTGAAAATTTTAGAATAATGACCCTTCCCTGAAATGAGACATTATGGATGGCTGTAAACATCAATTCTAAGATGGTTCATGCATGAGATGCAGAAAAAGAATATTGCATTATCGAATGAATTATCTTGGAAAGTTATAGACATCAAACCTGTCCTACAAATGTTGCGAGAAAATTCTATAATTCAGTGAGATTGTGACAACAATTATCTGTCTACGGTTATATGAAAGCTCACTTTCGGAACTCCAAAATGCGTTGAAACAACCTATATATTGTACTCGACGACATATTCTTGTTGGTAATGACATCTTGAATAGTTCATCTAGTGTCACAATTTTGAGCCGATGTAAGTTTTTTCACTTTTTAGACCAAAAACGCATAAAAGTTGAATTTTGCATTGCTTGAAGCCTTTCTAAAAGTTATTTCTAATCCATTTGAAAACAACAGCTTGATATTATAAATTTAGCAAAATCAAATGAAAATATAATAAAGTTATTGTACAAACGAGGAACACTGAAGATACAAACAACAAGGGCGTTTAATGTGACTTCTCAAAATTTTAGGGACTTCTTCGAACAAGACAATTTATCTTGAAGGGCTAAAAATGAAAACATGACACCCTAATAAAGTCCTTCACCGCATTGACTGCTCAGAATCAGAATTCAGTTTCAAAGCTTCGCGGAAAATGGAAATTGAAGGGACAGATAGATCCAAAACCCTAATAAAACCGGGTCAAACCCGAGAATTCGGTCGAGGCCAGGGATTCTCCACTGATAAAACTATTTCCCGCCACCACGTTTCCTTTTACCTTCCCAAAAATGAAACCCGGGTCAATTTCCATGTTATTGGCAAGAATCCGATTTGGGTACACACGGCTAAAATTAATGAAGTCAAGGCTTTTCGGAGCACCGAAAAAGGTGAAATGGAGAGTGGTGACATGTTTTGCGTGTCCGCAAAGAATCCCATTTGGTTCACTTTGAAGAAAACTGAGATCGAGGATTTAGATGATGGTGAAAATGAAAATGAGGTGAAAAGGGAATTGTGTTTGGAGGGTGACTTGGCTGAGAGCTTGCAGAGTGGTTCTGGGCCAAAAGATGTTGAAGAATTGGAGCCCGAGTCTGTTGATATTTCGGGTATAGACCCGATTGAAGGTTTGTTTTCTTCATCTTTACTCGTTTCTTGCCATTAGTATGTTAATCTTTTGTATAGATTTGTAGTGATATACTGATGTGAAGGCCCTTCTTTACAATAGTTGGTTTCAAGAATGAATACTATCTAACGTGGTTATAATATTTGGTATTAGAGTAGGCGCTATGTAATGATCCTTATTGTATCCCACGTCACTAGGCTGAGGTTTAGTTTGTGGGTTCAAAGCTTGTTTTGAAGGTGAGTTCTAGTCAATGGGGTTATCTCACGTGGTCAGAAATGGGCGACCTTGTGACTACTTCAACTAGAAGACTAGTTCTCTACAATATCACTTAGCTGATCCGTTTTGAAAAGTGTGTGGTATTAGAGTAGGCTTATCCCACGTTGCTATGTTCAGGTTTAGTTCATGGATTTAAAGCCGGTTTTAAAGACGAGTTCTACCCAATGTGTTATTACTCGCCGTTGGGAAATTGGTGACCTTGTGACTACTTCAACTAGAAGACCAGTTCTCCATAAAATCATTAGTGTTGAATATGGTCATCAAGGCATACATTTTGAAAAGTGTGGATTGTATCAATTCTAATTACATCCCATGTCTCGAAGTTGAGACTTTGGACATGGAGACTTTGCCTTACATCGTATAAAATAATGTCCTATTTGTGCTTTGCTCTAGTCTAAATGACCATGGGACCACTACACATTGTTCAATGCATTATAATATTGAACAATGTGGCATGATCCCGCTGCCACATAGACCGGTGCTGAGAATTAGTGTTGCTAAATCACATTGTTTTACTTGGGTTGTGGTAGAGTATTGTGTCTGTCTAGATAGATCAGATGTGATGTCTATAATCAGCTATATTCAAAATGAATTGCTTTTTAATGATTTAAATACAGGACCCCAATTCTGTTCCCTGATGTTAATAGATGTTCCAATTAGATGATATAGTGTAATTATGTTAAAGGTTTACATTTGTCCCATGTTCGCTAATTTAATTGTTTTTCATGGGAATTGTTTCATATATGACAATTTTTATATTCGTATAAATTATATCCACTAGTTGTGTTTTGCATATTTTTGCTGATGCTTTACTTTTGTATTGGGGAATTCAGAGTTTGAGTTTGTGGTAATGGGACACAAGTTTGATCGCTATCCAAAGAAAATGATACGTGATATCAAGAATTTTGATTGGTTTCTTGAGGAACCTGGGGAAGATAGTGAGGATGATGAGAAGAAAGTAAAGACTGGAAAGCGAAGAAAGAGGAAGAAAGGTGAAGAAAACGACGATGAGTGGACTGGGGAGATTGAAGAGGACAAAGAGGTTATTACAAAGTCGAGGAATGTTCAAAGACCTAAATATACGACAAGGTCCAAGGATAGTAATAAATTGGATAAGGATACAAGCAAAAGTAAACGCACAACCGGAATGAGAAGTAGAACTGTGGATGGGGAAGATGAAGATGATGAAACGTTGGGAGGCTTCATTGTTACCGATGAAGATTCTGAAGAAGAGGAAGAAGACGTTGATGGGGAAGAGGAAGATGAAGAAGAATTGGGGGGCGATTTTGATGAAGATGATGAATAACAACTGGAAAAAGTTAGCATTGTTGAAGAATGGAATTTGCTCAAGTTGATCTGAAGATGTAAATCCCTTAAAGGAAATAGTTTGTAGTTAGTAAAGCTTGTTCAATTCTAGCGCAACTCATATTAATTTTGTATTAAGGGGATATTTAATACGATTTTGTTCATTCTTTTGTTCTAGTTTGGACTTTGTAGAGCTTGTAGTAATTTGGAATTTTGTTTTGAGTTCTTATAAAACCTTCATGAGATAAATGAGATGTCATGAATTGGGAGGTAAGAAGGCAATTGAGGAAATTACACAGAAATAGGTATTTCAACTTTACTGTGCAAAAATCAGGTGTAAAGATTTTTTAATAAGAATTGAAGTATTATATTTATAATTGAATATTACACCCTTCCTAATTCCATACTAACCCTAAATTATTTTTCTTCTCCCTATTCATCTTCGTGCCATTTTTCCCCACGCTCGTCACCACTCTGAACTGGCGACCATTGTGCGCGGCTACAAGCGCATCACCGGCAAAGCTTGGTCTCTCTCTCTGGGGCGCGGTGCATCTGTTTCTGTAGCTTGATCTCTCTCTTTTGTTGTATTCTGCATCTTTCTGTTGGTGTGATCTGGTGATGTCTGTGGTGTTGTTGGCGACGACAAGGGTGGAGATGGTGGTGGTGGTTGTGGTTTCTGTGTTGTTGGCGACGACGAGGATGGTGGTGGATCTGGTGGCGACGATGGGGGTAGAGGTGGTGGCGGGTTAGGGGTTTTTTTCTTTTTTTTTTGTTAGGTGGTGGCTGTGGTGTGGTCTGATGTCTGTGTTGTTGGCAGGGACGGGGATGGAGGTGGTGGCGGGTTTGGGATTTTATTTTTTCATTATTATTATTTTTTTGGTGGTGGGTGGGGTGTGGTGATGTCTTTGTTGTTGGCGACGACGAGGTTGGTGGTGGCGACGGGGTGGAGGTGATGCTGATGTCAGTGGGTATGGTGCCGGTTATATATGACCTTTATTTGGCATATGTGACCAACTATTTGGTTCTTTTTGACTAATTATTAAACTGACCTTAAATTTCAATATTTTTTTACTAAAAAATAATTTTACCAACTAATTTGAAATATGTGATTGATAGATAAATTGTGATTTATAATTTTTTTGATTGTAACCAAAAAAATAAACTGTGGCCTTTGAAATTTTTTATCTGTGACCTCGAAATAATTTGTGATTTATAAAATTTTTAATTTGTGACATCAAAATAATTCGTGACTAGTAAATAAATTCTGACTTATAATTATGTACATGTGATCATTAATTATATAATTGTGATCTTATTATATTTAATTAATAAACATATTCATTGGCAGACCCAAGGTGGTCCTGGGTTCATGTGATCCGCCCCCCTCAACTCTTTTTTTTTTTTGGTGAATAAATTATGTTTGGTATCGATTGAAATCTAAATTTTAATTTAAATAAAAGTCATTATTAATTTTAATAACATATTTCATGTGATTTTTTAAACTTTTATCAAAATATACTAAAAATTTGATTTTTACTTCCACTAAACAGAGACAAAATCAAGTAAATTTGAATTTTTTTCTCTTTTCTCTTGTTCTATTTTACTCTCTTCTTTACACTTTTTATCAAATCATTAACCTTTCTAATTTTTTAAAATCTATCTATAATTTTTTTTTATATATTTTTTTACAAATTATCACATATACTACAAATTTTCATTAATTAGAACCTAAATTTTGCATTTTCTCATATCCTATTTGTGTACATAGAATTTGTCTGAGCTAATTAAATTTGATTTAACTTATATTTAACGAATTGTATTTATTTGATTGAATATTGGTTATATATTTTTCATTTCGATCACTTGAATTGATTGTTTGTATTAAATACACTATACATTTTTTAAACATAAATATGCATTTTCTTGTGATGAGCAAAATATTATTAAAATGACTATTTGAAATCAAATGAATGAAAATGATATGCAAAATATTAATAAAGAAATGTTTTTTAAATATAAATATGCATTTTCTTGGTCAAGTATAAATCATTTAAAAATTAAGAACAAATTATTCGATTTGTACAAAGTTTCATTGTGCCATCTAAGTAAAAATTTCTACATCCACTCCTAAACATATTTAATTAGTTAGTTAATACTTGAATTTTGCATTTTGAAATCTGAAAATTGAATTGTCATAATTGACACCTGACTTTTGAATTTTTCCCAATGCAAATTTAAATCATCCTGATTAATTATTTATTAATTTTAGTGACATATTTATTTTTGAAGATAATATCAAAAGGAAGAACCTAATTTACATAACGGGACGGAAATTCTTGACTCTATTCGACACGAAGCACGGAGCAATGAGTATTTTTGCAATTCCCTAATATGGCCCGTTTGATTATCATTTTATCAAAATACATTTCTTTTCTATATTCTTTTTAATTATATATTATTCATTAAAATAATATTACACCAAAAACAAAAAAATATCTTTCTTTTTCATCCACGTATTTTCCATCAATTTATATATTTATAGAAAAAAATGGAAAAAAGAAAAGATAAAGGAAATAATAAAGACAAAAATGGGCGTGGTAAAAGTGAAAAAGAAAGTTATCCAAATTCCTAATTCTCATCGAATTGTGAGCTTCTCATCAACAGTTGGGATTTTCAGCGCCATACCTCTGCAATCAACATTCAACAGTATATACGACCAAGAATCCTCAACAAATGGAAATGGCTAAAACCCTAATGGTTAATGCCTATTGCCGGAATCGTTTATCTTTTTCTGCAATCCCAAAATCGTCAAAGAGTAAATTCTCGTTCTCAAAAGCAATGGCATCGGGTTCTAGCTTTTGCCCGCCTGTACCCACCCAATTTAGATGCAGACCCATCTCTTCTTTTCCGATTTCATCTCAATATTTGGTTTCCTTCAAGTGTTTTTCTGTTAAGGCTTCCAGTTCGACTCCCAAAGGTACTGCTTTCACTCACAGAATCTTTTAAATTAGATGCTAAGATGTTAAGTGGGCATTTTAACTTATAATAATTCTCAAGATTCTCTTTTTTTTTTTTTTTTTTTTTGTATTCTAATTTAATATGTTTGAATATGACAAAAATTTAATATGTTTGAATATTTTATGTGTGGTTCTGTAATATTTTATGTATGGATTTATTCCACTGGATTGGGAATAAAAAAAATATTTTTCCAAAAATGGAAAAATCGAGATGATGACTAAAATTGAAAGTCCTAATCTTAAGGGTTATCCTCTAATAAATGGAATTCAAATCTGACTTAAATTTATAGAGACATAACTAAAAGAAAATTTACCAAAAAAAGGAGAAACGCTTAAATGAAAGCCTAAATGAAGGAATTTCCCCCCCTTTTTGGGTCTCCGTGAGGAGCGAAGCTCTAAGTTTGGGTGGTGTTTGTTTGTCATCGATCAGGGATCTACAACACATAGGCTCAAGCGAAGACCCAAGTTGAAGGGTTTCCTAATAGTTTCAACAATTCTTATGACAACATGGAAGATGTTGAAAATGATTTTCGAGCATTTTGCACTGCACAGCCTTCACCTTTGAAAGGGAATATATACGCTATTTTTGTTGGTCGTAAGAAAATTTTTTTTTTTTTTTTTTTTTTTTTTTGGCTCTTTATAGAAATTTCATTGTTATAATTTGTTAATGGCCAGTGTAATGTGTAATGGTAATGCAACTTCAATTTTCTCTTGGATACTGTGGCTAAGTGATGCACATGTATGTTGAAGAATTGAAGGAAACTTTCATGGCAGGAATGTTATGGATTTAGCAGTTTGCACCTTGCGTTGTTAATAATTTATGTTATGTATATAAGCATGCTGTAAAGTTTAGATGTCTTATATTGAAGCGTGACTCCACGTCTCCATAAAGTCATTTGAAAATGTCGAAATTAAATGTAATGAATATGAATATGATAGCTCTTTTTTCTTGCAATGCATCCTAGGTGACAGTGAATGCAATGAACATTGTGAGACAGTGCACATTCTTGTTGCATTTGAATTGAAATTCAGTTCAAATTCACTAATTATATCATTATTAAGCCTCCATTTGGGAACAATTTGTAGACGGCTTAATTTATGGATAGATAGAAATGAGTGGTGGATAAGTGAATAGTATTTGTGGGTCCATTGGATTGTGTAGTTGAAAATGAAGTTTAACCATTCGCCAAATAGAAGCCAACTTATTCTTTGGATAAAAATGAGGAAGTGAATGAAATTCTTATGAAAGTTTTACTTTTTATGCAACAGATGAGTTGCCAGCTTGCATTGGCTTTCTAGGTCTTGGAATTATGGGTTCACCAATGGCACAAAATCTCATAAAAGCAGGGTATTCCATTTTTCCCGAGGCACACATACTTTTCATAAAAAGTGTTTATATCATTGGAGTAAATTAACCTTTTTTTATCTGCTTCTTGTATGTTAATATAATCCAGATTACTACCTGTGAAACTCATGTCTCGTAGCCATGACGCTTCCATTTAGATTGGATAATCAACAGGAACATACTATTTTTGGAAGTAGGCCCTCATGTAATTAAATTTGTATTGCTGTTTCTCATGGAAATCGAACTATTCTCCTGCAAAAATTATATCCCACTCTAAAATCAAGCATCGTGGTTATGGTATCGGCATCATATACTTTGGAATCACTAAAAATGTTTTCGTAGTTAAGTATCTTGACATTAAAATGCATATGAATTCTCTAATTTTTAAATGTGTTTCTGATTGGCAATTGTAGATGTGATGTGACTGTCTGGAATCGGACAAAGAGCAAATGCGATCCCGTAATATCCTTGGGTGCAAAGTAAGTACATGATATGTTCCATTTTTAGACTTCTGCAAGATATCTAGAATCCTAGACAGTTTGCTCCCTTTCAGCTGGTAGGGCTGTAAGGTCTCACTAGCTTCAGACCTATCCTTTAGCATTTGATAAGTTAGCTGCCTTAAGTCACCTCCGCTTGACATAAAAGGAGATAAACTTCCTGGCACAGCATATACTTACTGGTTTTAAACATGAGTCATGGATGAGTTTGTGTGTATGGTATGGGCCAAAGATCAAAAACTAAGTCTTGGTCGCGGAACAAAAAAGATAATTTGGGGCATACTGAACATTTGGCACTACATCAAAGACTTTAGCCATTGATTGGAAATCAAAAAGGGATATTCGAAAGGAACGATTATTGCAAGACCCAGCCGTCGAATAGGGACGAAATTCAGCCGTAGTGATCCGACGGTGCCGAGTGGAAGGACTACATTTTCTTTATGCATATAGATTTCTGGCATGACAGGAATTGCCAACTGAGTTGTTGATTTCTATTGAGGGCTCTTTAAATGTTTATGTTCCTGTATATATTCTTAGCATTGTGTTTAGATTGTGATTGAGGTTTCTTTAGGTCTCGCCTCAAACGGACAATCTCTCGATTTGTCGATCTTCACTTCCATGGCACTAATTCTCTATTGTTTTAGGTTAGATGCTTATTTTTCAATTTTCTTAAGTAGGAATTCTATGCGCAGGTATAAATCCTCTCCTGAGGAAGTAGCTGCATCTTGTGATGTCACATTTGCCATGCTTGCTGATCCTGATAGTGCAGTGAGTACATATTTTGGTGGATATCATTTCCTTCTTATATCATTGATTTCTAACTATAGAACATCCTTTTCAGGTGGAAGTTGCATGCGGAAATCATGGAGCTGCAGGTGGTATGAGTCCTGGAAAAGGGTATGTTTTGCTTGTTCTCCCTCGAGAAAGGATTTATTAGATAACTTCTTTCGAATTTCCTTCTTTTTGCATCAACGGTCATTGATATAGTTCTACTAGGAAAGTAGGCATAAACTGTTTTGTCACTAACTTGGATTGACAAAGTTTAAATGTTGATATTTGGACAATTCCAAGTAACGGCTTTTGATAAGTACATAGTTGCAAGGTCCTAATAAGAAAAGCATAGACTTTCTCTGACGTTTTAAGTTTTCTATATGGATCTATACTTGAAAATGTCATAATGGTTCATGGGATGCTTAAAAAAAATGAAAACATATACTCGTGTTGCATAAATCGAGATCTAGATTCTATATTGTTCTTGTAAATGTAAAAATGAGAATATTCTCTGAATTTATTTGCAGCTATGTTGATATCTCTACAGTTGATGTTGCCACCTCCACATTGATTAGCAGTCGTATGAAGTCTACTGGAGCACTATATTTGGAGGTTGATTTATTGAGGTTTCTATTTATGTAGGCTTTCGACTCGTTTACTCGTCAATAAGTAATAATAATTTCTGCATACTTATATCCTATTTTACCTACTTTTCCTACAGGCTCCAGTTTCAGGCTCAAAAAAGCCAGCAGAAGATGGACAACTAATTTTCCTCACCGCAGGTAAAGCTTATCTGGTTTATTACTTACATAATACAACAGTATTGAATTGCGAGTTTATGATGACATGTTTAGTTGTGGCCCAATTGTATATGTTATTCTATTTCTGGAATTCCTTGTCCTCTACACAGTACACGTTTTGCCCTACCCTTTTTTCGTTCTGTTGATTACACAGTAAAGTAAGGCTGACATCAACTGAAGCCTTTGTTGCAATCTTTCAGGTGACAAATCTCTATATGAAACAGCTGCTCCACTCTTAGACATCATGGGGAAGGTGATCTGTCAACCACCATCCCCCTTCTTTTTATAACAAGATCTTATTAGTTTTGTTGAAACACCTCATTTAAGAGCTTAAGTTGTTAAAGTGGGGATGCATAAATTTATTAAATTTTTGGGTTGAACATGCCCCCTCACACAGGCCAGATACATACTCTTTATTAATAAACTAACGCGTGCACAATTTTCATAAATGATTGGGGACTAGACTTGGGCCCAAGATCTTTACCTGCTGTGAGACCTTGTTGATAGGGAACACATTTATTTATTTATTTATTTGAATTTTTTCTTCTACAATTTTCATTTTCCAATTTATTTTTGCCTTTGTTGTAGTCGAGATTTTACCTTGGAGATGTCGGCAATGGATCTGCAATGAAACTCGTTGTCAATATGATTATGGGAAGGTTCTGCATATTTACCACCTCAACAAACCTCTTCATTTTTGTTCCTTGTTTAAGATTTCACCAGTTTGGCTTAAATCCAAGTCTTATTGGTTTTTGCAACGTAAACAATTTTCAGTATGATGGCATCTTTTTCTGAAGGATTGCTTCTCAGTGAGAAAGTAGGACTGGACCCAAGTGTATTGGTTGAGGTATTTTCTCATAACTCATGTCTCCTTGTATAATAAACTCCATTCATCAGCTTTATATTATTTATGGACTTTTTATCTTTTTGTTGCACTTTCTTCTCTCGAAATAGCAATTTATGCAATTTTCCCCCTGCTGATTTTGTCTGGTATTAAATGAATTTTTGGTCTATGATAATGGTCTGAAAAGTATAGAGATAATACTCTGATCGAATCTGGAGTCAAGTCTTTAGAGTAATTTTCAAGATTTTTAGACCTGCACTTATATTAGACAACCAATCGCTTATTGATTTAAGAAACGTACTAAATATGAAATTTGAAATGTCTTATGGAAACTGGGATTCAAACTCATTGATTGATTGATACTTATAATCGGGGAAATAAAAAATCAGAAGTAAAAGTAAGCAGGAAAAACCCCAGATTTTTTAATCCTAAGACCGTAAGACGGGTTGACAGTCTGCACCAACTTTTATACCTGGGTCGTGTTTTTCAGGTTATCTCGCAGGGTGCCATTAGTTCACCAATGTACTCGATGAAAGGTCCTTCAATGGTTCAGTCGCTGTATCCTACTGCATTTCCTTTAAAGCATCAGCAAAAGGTTCAAAACCTTTCTACACGTTTCATCTATAGGGGAATTCAGTACGTCTCTTGACAGCAAATTTTCATTTTTGCAGGACCTTCGACTGGCTCTGGGGTTAGCTGAATCTGTTTCACAACCAACTCCCATTGCAGCGGCTGCAAATGAACTATACAAGGTGGCAAAATCCCGTGGTTTGAGTAACCAGGACTTCTCTGCCGTAATTGAAGCACTGAAAGTGAAACTAGAACAAGAAAAATGAAAGTATTAGGCAATTCATCTCTTTTTGAACAAGTCGAGTTCCTTAACTCCTTGACTGGATGATTTTAGCTTCTTTTTGTACTTCATATTCAAACTCCTTGCTTTCCATGATATCTTGAAAATCCATCTTTTGTATACAAGAGACTTGCTGTCCAAGATGACACGTTAATTTAAAATGAGGTATTAATAATTAATTGGGTGGACAGCAAAAGTTAGACAGTAGATCTCAACTCGGAAATCAAACACCAAGAAAGCTTGAAACTTCAAATTTTTACTAGGGTCATGCTCTAATGTGAGAGGACTTATTTCATAAAAAAATACTACCTGCATAAATATTCCTTTTAAGAAACGTGGAAACAAGACTCGTACATACTGACTTAAATTCTTAAAAAATATATATAAACGATGTGTTTGATTGATATGAAAAATATTTTCTAAAAATCTTATTGTGAGGCAAATAAAAACTCACCTCTTCCAAAGAAAATATTTTCCTCAAACAAAGGAAAATTAAGCATAATTTCAAAGGTTGAAAAATATTGTCCATAGGAAAAAAATGACAATCAAACACTAAAAGAGTTGGAATTTTTTTTTTGGATGATCGTGGGTGTTCGGGTAGCATGCACCTCGACTAATCCCATGAAACCCTGAAATTTACAGTCGAGTACTTATCTCTGTGGTCCTAAAAGGACTCGAACTGGTGATTATTGGATAGCAAACTCAATGCCTGACCATTGAGCTATCTTTAGGGTTCACTCAAAAAGTTGGAATTAGGGTGGAGAAAGGTCATTTTCCATGACTGACGATATAATTATATTCGCCAATGGTCGAAGTCATCTATCAGAAGGATCATCGACTGTTTGGAGCACTACGAACGAGTCTCTAGCCAATTGGTGAATAGAGATAAGAGTGGCCTTATATTGTCCGGTCAGGCGTCGAATATTCAGATATGGAGGCTAGTAATTTTAACAGAATTTTCTCATCAACAATTGTCATTCACATACTTAGGAGTTCCTTTGTTTAAGGGGGCTAAGAGGAGCATTCTTTTTTATGACCTCATCATGAAGATCAAAAGTAGGATTTCATGATGGGCTTCAAGAATTCTTTCTCATGACCTTTTTCAAATTTTGTGACCTCCCAAGGTCGTACTGAAAAAGTTGGAGAGTATATTTGCCAGATTTCTATGGGATTCTAAGGATCATGCACGCCGATTACATTGATGAAGTTGGAAAGAGATTTGCCTCCCGACTGACGATGGTGGACTGGGCTTTAGAAGACTACAAAATACGGTAGACACATTCTCTATGAAGCTTTGGTGGTTATTCTTATCTCAGAGTTCTCCTTGGGCTCACTTTTTATTGAGCAAATACTGTAGAGTAACACATTCACCACTTGCAGCTATCCCTAATTCAGCCTATCTGTATGGAAGAGACTGAAGAGATTTGGACAACGTGCTGAGCCACGTATTGCGTGGCACCTTGGGATAGGTCATATTTTCTTTTGGCGTGATTGTTGGATGGGAGACACTTCTTTGGCATCCATCTTCCCAAACAGGCAACACACATTTGCAAAGGTGCAGAGTTTTTTCAATGACGACGGATGGGACTTTAAACGATTATTAGAGGATATTTTGCCATCTATGGCAGAGTAGATTGCGAACATGCCATTATGTATTGATGCCCCCGACTGCATTCTTTGGAAGGCTACATCAGATGGTAGATTTACTACCAAATCAACATGGCATTTGATCCGTTCTAGCAGACCAATGTAGGATTCATTTTGCCTATTTTGGAGCCCTATCATATCTACCACAGTCTCGTTCTTCTGTGGGAGATTATGGCACGATTTGATACCAGTAGATGTTATTATTCAAAGGAGGATAGGTAGTCAGTTGGCTTCTTAGTGTCAGTGTTGTTCGGAGATTGAGACCATCAATCACATTTTTAATGGTAGCGATATATCAGATTAGGTCTGGCAGCATTTTGGGAGTTTATTTCACATTTCTATGATTAAGGGTGAAAGTGTCAGACAGAGATTTCTAAGATGGCGATATTTTGGTCAGTTTGTTGGGAGTGGGCACATTCGCATCATTATTCCTCTTCTTGTTTTTTGGTTTTTATGGACCGAAAGAAATGATACAAAGCATAGGGGTGTTCGCATGAGATCAAGATGAATCATTAGGAGGGTATACCATATGATCTCACTCTTTCACATTGGAGGATTATTTCAAACTAAATTGGCGCTGTGACATATAGCTCGCTCCACTTTTTGGGATTACTGTGACCTTCCCTCCATCTCCTCTCCCCATAATGGTTTGGTGGCGTACTCCATCAGTCGGATTTGTCAAGATCAACACTGATGGATGCGTCAAAGATGGCTTTGCGAGCAGGGGAGGCATAATCAGGGGCTACGCAGGAAAATGCATAAAGGCATTCTCAACATCATATGGACAGTGTATAATATTGAAAGCAGAGCTCAGAGCTATTCTTAATGGAATATTATTGGAAAAAAACTTTAGATTTTCAGACATTTAGGTTGAGGCAGACTCTAGTGTAGCCATTCATTGTATCATCAAATGTGGAGAACCATGGTCTATTCAAGGCATACTAAAAAAGATTACAAAAAACATTTCCTTCGATAAAGTTACAGTTTCCCACATCTTCAGAGAGGGAAACTAGGTTGCAGATGCTCTTGCTATAGAAGGTTGGAATCACCAACGATATCAGGTATACGAACCATCTATCCTACCATGACAAATTAGGGCACTCGTACAAATAGATAGACATGGACTGCCCAACATTAGAACATGAATTATAAGTTTACTTTTATTCTTATATTATTCTTTTCTTTTCTTTTTTTGTCTTTAATTGCATCAGTTCTTATTGTAAAGGAAGTAGTACTTCCTTTTTACAGCTTTACATTTATTTGTTTTTAGCATTCACTTCCATTGTAAAGGAAGTAGTACTTTCTCATTTACTATTTTCAAGATTTTTACATGTAACCACGGTATTCTTCCACCACAAGTGAGGGCATATTAATAAAATCTCGGAGGTACCGTCCTCCTTTAACCACAAAAAAATAACAATAAAAATAAAAAGAAGAAGAAGGTCATTTCCCATGAATATTTTTTCAATCAAACACGCCATAATATATTAATATTGATTTTAGGGTAATTGGGGGCAAAACAGCTCTATTTTTGTCTTCGTTGAATAAGTTGTCTCTATCATTCCAATTTTGATATTTAGGTCTTTAGATCGACCATTTTTTACACGGAACATTCTTATCGTCCATTTTCTTCATTAAGTCTAGTAAAATGATGAATTTACCAATATTTAAATGAACCAATTAAGAAATTATTGCAGTCAAGTTCTCAAATCTTTTCAAAAAACTATGAACGAGTCCCACTTAAAACATTTAAAAAAGGGAAAAAAAATTTCATCTTCCCAGTCAACCCCTTCCACCACCACCCTCCCTTCCCCCTTCCACGCCACCATCACCTTCCTCCGACCACCACCACCACCAGTCTAATTTTTGAAAGCAAAGGTTACAAAATATGTTTGGGATTCCAAGATTGAAGGCAGGCAAGGTTACCAAAGAAACTAGCTGCGTGGCTTTACTCCAGACAAGGACCATGGTAATGCCAAGCCGATGTATTCGATGCATAAATCCCAGAACGGAAACATGAGATAGTACTAGACCTTGAATCGTAATGTTCTGATTCAAATGAAATGCATATCGATCTCGGCACTGTCTCTGAGGGCGGAAGAAATGAAGAACCTGCATTCCCTTCGACAATGGATGGATCATCAACAGGTTCGGCACAAGGTTGAATTGACACTTTCCACTGCTAAACATGAAATTATCTTCTTGTTTGAGAACTATTTGATGATCAAGAAGTTGATGGGGCTGATTGATCAACGGCCATGATTGAAGATGATCATATGCAGATGAATCCATTAATGGAATCAAGGCTGGAGCATCAACAAAGTCAGAATCAAAATTCATTTGATGATCAAACCCTTGAACATTTGTGGGCTCCAATTGGCCACATTGGTTCAAATTTGAGCCTGTATAGCTGCTAGGGTTTCCAGTGTTCGGACTTCGGAACAGAAAATGTATCTTGATGACCCAAAAAATTGTTATCAGAAGTGAGCTTCTTCATGATGCTTGTATTCCAGAAGTTCTTGATTTCATTGTCCGTTCTACCAGGTAGGTACTTGGCTATCTGAGCCCACCTGCAGAGGGTAAAAAACTCGCGCATTGATCATTGTAAAGATAAGCCAACCAACAGCTCATCACTCAATCAGTTAATCAACTTATCTTGCCTATTGATTTATCAGCTTATCAGCCATTTCTGTTACACCAAAAATACCAGATTATGCTGCAGAAATTCTGTTATTAATGGATTCCAGCCACAGCCCATGATTCAAGGAAATTGCTACAGCTGTGTATTCTAGAATACTCTTGTAACTTATTCCCCAAGCTCAATAACGTGTATAAATTCCTCTCAACTGAAGCTGCTGTAATGTGTGTTTTGTATATACAAGAAAATATAGATTACAATTTTTTACTTGGTATCAGAGCCTACAATGGCCAACGCCAATGATACACCACTAAACACCAATTCCAACCCTTCTCCATCATCAGAATCAAGCACAATGGTGCCTCCAGTGCAGGGAAGCAACCATTTCTCATCATCTGGTGTCTACCTAACTCAAATGTTGTCTGTCAAGCTTGACAAGAACAACTTTCTGCTATGGCAAAACATGATACTCCCTATTATAAGAGGACACAATCTGGATGGATACATTCTGGGGACAAAGGTGTGTCCTCCAGAATTCATTGGTACCAAAATCTCTAGAGATGCAGGAATGATGGTTGAGATGAAAAAGAATCCTGAATATGATCAGTGGATGTCAACAGATCAGCTGCTAATGGGGTGGCTTTACTCATCAATGACCCCTGAAATAGCTATGAGGGTCATGGGCTGCAGCAACTCCAGCAAATTGTGGGCTGCATTAAAAGAGAGCTATGGCATCCAAAACAAATCCAGAATAACATTTCTCACTGGGGAACTTCAGAAATCAAGGAAGGGAACATTGAGCATCGATCAATACCTCAGCAAAGTAAAGCTTCTGGCAGACAATCTTGAGATTGCT